AAATTGTTGTCGTAAAAGTCGTAATATAATCCTTCGCCATGAAAAAACATCGTGATCAGGTATCTCTCTTTCTTCCAACGTGTTCGATTCCATCAAATGACTCAATCTTAGCTCTGCAGACTCTCAAGAGAGAGCTGGAGGTTCGTAGAGGGCACCGCGTACAGGTGTTGAGTCTTCGCCCTGTCCTTCTCCTCTTCTTTTCCTTCTAAAGTCTCCTCCTCATATCTGTCTACTCTAAACTCCAGACTCTAGACTCTATAGAAACAATCCAATACAATCCAATACGATCACATCACATCACATCACATCCCTTCAAAAATTTCAAAAATCCAATCACATCACAAACTCACAAACTCACAAACTCGCTAAACATATACAAATAAAAGGGGCGTCATATCATATCATATCATATCATATCACATCATATCAGGAACTCCCTTTCGACCTTTCGAGAAGATACGAGTAGTGGGTGAATACTGTATTCCCTCCATAACTCACTCCATGCCATGCTACTTAGCCGGATCGAATCTATTCAATTTCCATCTATTCTATCCAGTCCCCCCACTGCACCAGGGATCTATCTATCTGCATCTTTCTTCATCGCTCTATGCTACTTAGCCGGATCTATCCCATGAATTCCATTCCATTCCACTCCCATCATCCAGCCCCAGCCCCACACTGCAGCAGGCATCTGCATCTACATACATCCCCATCCATCCATCCATCAAATAAAAAATTCCGGAGGTTCAAATACAAATATATCGCAACATGCAGCTGGTATATATACACGAGTACACTACAATTTAACTCGAATCCCCCATAACCCCACTCCCCACCCCCCCAAAAACACACACACTACAGCACCACACAACACAACAAAAAAGAAAAAGAAAAAGCTCTAAACACCATACCCAAATACCAACCCAACCCATACCAAAATTAACATATACACTCACTCACTTACTCACTCACTCACTCACTCCACTTAGCACCTTCAATACCCAACCCAGCCCAACCCCCCTTGATACACGCCTGAACACTTCTTTTGCACCCCACACCTACCCCACACCTACCCCAAACTCATTCCAAACTCCAAACTCACCTCCTCTACCTCTTTAACTTCACCTTTTCTACCACACCTCTTCTACCACCTCTTCTACCACCTCTTCACCTCACCTCTTCACCTCTTCGCCTCTTCTACCACACCACCCTTAATACTCTGAAACTTTACCCGAGTACTTGATACATACTTGTACTTCCCAAAAATCCCAAGGTAGCGTTCATATCATACTACATCACCTACCTATCTACCTACCTACCTACCTAATAGCCTAAGCCCCTGCAAAATTACTCACAAACACACACACACACACACACACACACACACACACACACACACACACACACACACACCCTATCACCTCAAATTTTCGCCCAAACTCAATATTAGTCTCACACACCTCAGTCTCAAACAAAAATGAGCACATTGTGATAAAACTCTATCCATAAAATACTACATCTAGGTACCGTATTTCTGCTTTCTCATCATCCATCCATTCATGCATTCCACTCCACCCCACTTCATTCCCACCCCACTTCATTCCACTTCACTCATTTCCTTCATCTTATCCTCTGTATGTGTACGAGTACGTAGGCATGGTGATTCCACATGCCACAACTTCACATCTTCACAAACTCCCTGCACCACGATCAACGATTATCGACCCAAGATTACCATCCTTCTTCCTTCCTTTCCTTGATTTATTTCCTTACTCCTCCAAAAGACGCCAGAAAAAAAAAGACCCGAATCAATTTGAATAACCCTGAACTACCAGGGAATGTTTTTACTTCTTCGACTTGAGCCCTGGCTTGCGGGCACAATCCGTGGCCCAAAACTCCCGGATCAGACGCGAAAAGAAAAGAAAAAAAAACGAAAAAAGAATTTGTTATTGTATGTGCAGTGAAGTAAAGAACGATATCGTCCGGGACATGAGCGATGAATGTTGATTGTATGTACTAGCACTGAGAAGATCGCCCATATCAATGATGCCACCCCTTAATAGTGGCTATTAACGCTAACAGAACTAATGTCAGCCCTCTTCAGTGGTAAAGGAGGAGCTGGTTTCTTGGCTCTGCTAGGAGGTGGAGGTGGAGCTCTTCTAGAATTTGCTGCCGATATACTAGCCGATCGACTTCCAATACTACCATGACTAGTAGCTGGACTAACAGAGCGCGCACCATATGATCTATCCGGACTAGCACTATTGAGAGTTGAGTCATCAGATGGATCATTAAAAAGATCCGTAGACATAATATTGGTACGACCGTTTGGACGAAGAGATGCACGCAAAGAACCAGCTTCCGATACAGGAGGAGCTGAAGTTAGACGGTTTGAAGGTGGAGATTCGCGGTAATGGGTGGTTGGACCTTGGAATGTGGAAGATCGGCCAACTGATGGACGTTGTGGGGAACTTGGTGGTGAGTGTTCCTCTCTTCTACCAAGTCCAGATGTTGAGACAACTCGAGCTGTGTTGACGCGAGGGGTATTGGACCGGATAGATGGGCGCAGAGCCTCTTGCTGTGGAATAGGTTCTTCGTATGTGGAATATCTCTCGCTGTATGAATGGGCTGTGTTTGAACGAGGTCGTCCTTCGGGGCGTCTAGGTTGACGTGGCTGCTGTGCCGCCGCTCCTCGTCTATTCTTGTGTTAGTTTAAGAAATATCGCGCATACCAACAATGACTTACGCAGCAGGCCATTCCCTCTTTAATTTCAAAAGTTCGTCACGGCAACGGTCATAATATTCAAGCTCGGCCTCCAAAAATGCCCCCAAATCTTGAACACTATCCGCCTCTGCCTCTTTGATATCCTGCATCCGTCTAAGAACATCCTCGCTGGATTCTTCATATTTCGCCTTTTGTGATCTCAATTCTTCCTCGACCCGAAAATCTTCCCTCTTTGCCTTTTGCATCTTGGAAAGGGAGGCATCATAAGCCAATCGTCTTTGTTCGAGCTTCTTTCTGGCAGCCTATACAAATCAGTAATTACTCATTCAGACAATGTCAGATTATGCTAACCTGATATTCCTTCATTTGAGCTAAAGATCTCTCCAAAGATTCCAACCAACTCGAAGTAGCATCATGAACATATGTATCTTGTTGTCGCGAAATCCTGTCATTTGTTGTGCCCATAGCTGTAAACAACCCTATTAGCTAACTTTCTCAAACATGCTTGGAGTCTACCCACCGATAAGACAATTTCCAAAATTGGAATCCGGTTCAAAATCCTCTCCATGATGTATCATTGTCTGTCCCATGAATGCCACTGGTAGAATCTTTTCTCTATCATCTCCTTCGTTTCGTTTCGAGAGGGATTTAATATAAATCGTCATAGACTTTTGTAACTTTTCCATTCCTGGCAGATGTTAGAATAACTCCAATCTTAACTTTTGGCACACTTACCCTCATGTCTTAATTGCATTTCTGACTCCAAAGACTTGAAATCATCAGACACTGCAGTCTTGGATTCTTGACCCATTTTCTCTCCAGCCCATTGCTTAACTCTGCCAAATTTCTTGCCGACGTTCATCTTGGCGGTTTATTTTGAAAAGCAGTAATTTGCTTCCTAGGGATATTCGCAGATGTTGCTGTAGGTATGGAGTGTTCGATCTCGAAGGTAGTGACTTGGGTATTTATTGTTGATGTTTGACAACAAAGAAAAGGGTTATCTCAAGCCACCAATTTAGTTGTGTTTATCCAAAGGGGCAAGCTAGAGGTTTCTCGATGTTCTGTTCTTTTGGTGGTAGCACAACAAAAGTAGTGGTAGATTTTATGAAAAAAGATGTAAGAAGTGTCTTGACAAGTCAAATATCAAGATCAAAACTGGAAGGCGAATTGGAAGGCGAATTGAAGGTTGTAAAGTTTAAGTCCCTAAACTCTCAATGATTCAAAAAGGTGAATTCTGGGGAGAAGAATGAACCCTGATTGAATGATAATGCGAAATGGAGAAATATCTGAGAGTATTACCCAGATCCTTGTTTCTTCGATGTTATTTTTGTTATCGACCTCGAGGGATGGATATAGCTTGGATGAAGAGGTTGGTATTAGTGGGGGAGATGCAGATGTAGTTACTGCAGACGTGCAGTAACCAAAACTGGGATATTATTGAGTTAACCTTTTTCGAGGAAGGTGACTGGTTGTGACTGGTTGAACCTTTGAATTGATAGAAAAAGAGTGTGTTTGATGACTGGTTGTCGGGAACTCTAGATGTGAGCCTTTAATGTTCTAGAACAAAAAGAATGTTGTTGATTGTGGTGACTGTGATTGTGGATGGATGAATTGTCAATGAATGAGAGAAAATGATGGATGGATTTTCTTTCAATTCAATATCATTGGAGGTAGGAACTTGGAAGGGTATTAGGCAATTGATTGATTGATTGATTGGATCGTTTGTATTGTATCGTTCGTTATTATAAAATTGGAGGAACTGACGATATGAGGTGGGTATATATATGAACATGAATTATGAAAAGTTTATTTTATTGATATTATATAAGAGGTTATACTCAAGTAGAAAGATCAGAGGATAGGGAAAAGAGAGGAGGAAGAGAGAAGAGGTATTATCAAAAGATGGAATGGTACAAACACAAGAATACAAGGAGAATAGGAGAATACAGTACAACAGCCAATGATAACGATAGTTTTTTTGGGATCAATTTGAAGCCAATAACTTCTCTTCTATCAACCTACTTTCAAACCTATCGAGCCGCTACCTATCCATCAGACAACCAACTTAAAGCCACATCTTCATATCGGCCATTCATTCAATGCATTTTTGGCCGGGCCTACCAACTTTTAATGATCACAAGCCCCTGAAACCTTAATCGACTCGAATGTCCAAGATATCTACTACTCCTGTCGAAAGCATCAATACGACGCTCTATAAATTAGTGTCCGACCACTAGAGGCTAGAGCTATTATTCGCCAATCGTTCTAAAGATCTTTTTAGGAATAGACTTGACCTGACAGTGTCAATATCTGCTTTGAGATTATTAATTTTCCAAAAATAGGGACAATTCTTTTTCTACTCTAACTTAGTATATACTTGTATAAGAGACAGATACGATTATAATAGATCAGGCAAGAAGAATCGTTAGATTTTGCTTAGAATACCATCAGAATTATACCTACTCATCCATCAATCACCCCATCCCATCCTATCCCATTACAATTACAATTACCCAAATGATTCATTCATTACCTTATCAGGCATACGGCCACCCCCCAGATCCAGTCTACCTACCTACCTACCTAATATTCAAAATATTCAACCCCATCCGACCTCCTGAGTCCTGAGTCCTGAGTCCTAAGAGCATTACGCGGCAAAACTTCAGACGAGAAAGGGGCGCAGTTACTCGTACTGTTAAACAAACTAAGCTCAAACCACCAACAAACCCAACGCTCGACCATCTATCCATAAAAAGATAAAAATATAAATATATCGTGTTTGATATACTTACTATACGGTACGTACCTACCCATCCAAGCCTTTTAGACTAACTTGAACTGAATCAGGACCCCCCATCTGAACATGACACCTATCATCTGAAACTGTTATTTCAACACAGACATTATTGAATATTCAGATATATATTTATAGTAAGCCGATCTTGATTAGTAGGTGAGGTTAGTTAACATCGTCCAACTTTAACACTAAGATTCAAACTGCATCGATCGATATTGATATTTTCCCTTTCCCCTTTCCACACACAAACTCATTCCCTATCCATTCCCAAAATCCATTCATATTTCCCAAGACCCGCGGGGGAGACGTTTCATCTCCAATTTAGAAACTCCACCACAATATACCAACCCACAACTATACCCACTCACAAACTTATAGCAATCCCGAAATTCTAGACTCCATCGTTTTTTTGGTTGAGATGTACGGAGTATGCTAGGAGTTTTCATACCGGTACCTTACAGACTGTAAGGTACAGTATGCACTATACTGTGAATTACGCCATTGCTAATGAATGGCTTTCGTGTTCTGAATCATTAGTGAGTAGGGAGGAAAATAGGGGTAAGTTTTTTTAATACGAATAGCGGTATAGTAATCGCGAATCGCATATGAATCAAAAATCCAAATCGATCTTCAATTTCTAACATCCAAACAAGCATTTCGGATCGGTTGATCCTATGATTTTGAAAACATATCATGTCATCTCATCTCATATCATATCATATCATCTCAAATCACATCCTTACCACCCATACCATCAGTGAGTATACCGATATCTATTCTCAACATACCTACCATACCATAGTTATTCATCACAGCTCCCACCCAGTGCTCCCACATACCACAATCCATCCACAAGTGTAAGATCTTCATCTCTGATACAGTACAAATACAAGCAATTTATCGGAACTTCCCCAACTTAATCTTAAAGTCAAAACTGAAACCTTAACCTCAACCTCAAACTCAAACTCGCTATAGTGTTTATAAGTTTATATATATACCGGTATATATTAATGCCGCAGGAACATTGGGGGCTATGTTCAAACTTCAGGGTTGGGATGGGGAATCATGGGAGAGTGAGAGGGGGATATGGATGGGATATGGTGGGGTGGAGAAGTGGAGAGTGTTAATGACGATAGGTATTTTGTTTGTAGGGGTGAGTGTTGTGATGTGAGTGTTATGATATAAATGATGTTGATGCAGAGTAAAAGTTGGGTATTATTATAATATGGTGAAATTTTGTAATCCTCCCAAGTAGATTGATTGCACTGTATGTGTACTGGTATTCCATTTCTACTTAACCACGCAAAACTCCTATCTGCAACCGAATCGGTATGACAGCACCTTGATTCGGTGAAGGTAGAGGTAGGTAGTTAGATAGGTAGGTAGGTAGGTAGGTACTTTTGTCAGGTTGATTCTTTTATCCAGAACTAATTCGTAATCACCTAGTCTTAGCAGATAAAAGTACATTTTCCATCCCCTAAAAGATCTCCCCATGAGATTAACCTTAGGAGTGGGTGGGTTTGATTGATAAGAGGACGCGCATTTGAGGCCATCAATAAATAAAAGAAAGCTCTATACTCGTAGTATCACTAAATTATTGTGATGTATTAATAATAGGGTATTCTCGATGCTGGTATGTAATATTTTTCCTAGTACCGGTATTGACGGTTTTCGTTCACATAATAAGACTCTTCCTTGTATTAAGATGTCGCCTTCAAGTTTGCATTCGAATTCAGGTCGGTGCTAAATAGATAGCCTACCTCTACAGGAAAATCTTGACTATATCTAATAGTTATCCGATTCCTCTCAATTGAGTTAAAGCTATACTACCTAAACTACTATTATAGTATACAGAGGAGCAAAGGAGCTCATATAACAAAACAAAACATAAATGTAAAGGGAGGAAAACAGTAGGGAGTTCTAGGCAAAGATTAAGAATATCAATTATGGGCCAGTTCTAGTCCGAACAGCAAAATTACCGGGGCTAAGTAGCCGAAACCATATATATAATTATTTATTCACGCTATCTTCAACAAAAGCAGTCTTCTTGGCTCAGTTGGTAGAGCGTTGGTCTCATATTCAATTTGAGGTGATTGATAACAATCACTTGTAATCCAAAGGTCGTGAGTTCGAGCCTCACAGAGGACACTGTATTTTTGTCCATGGTTCTTATTTGTGCATACTTTGTGTGTGTGGTTGATGAAAGGGTGGGTGTTTTTTTTTTGGTATGATGGGGAAAGTAAGATCTGGATTCACTATACTAACGTTTCGCATCTAGTAACCTATGCAGGGGTGGCAAATATTTGTGTTGGAACTTAGTGGTGCGGGTCAGTACATTCTAAAAGGAAGGTACACACACTCTGGTAGCTTTCTTTTCTGCCTTTGGTCAAATTTTACAGTACATCCAAGAACTATTAGTGTACACAGGCATTGCGCATATAGCAGCTCTTATTCCTGAGGAAATGCAGTACTAAGGTACTAGCTATGCAATCATCTCATCAATCATTTTGTTGAAGCCTAGCTCTTTTGTTGCATGTAAGAAATCCAGGAGATATGTTCCACCGATTAATTATTGCCATTGGTTCTCTAGTGAGATGGTCATTCGGTCGGTTCAGAGAGGAGCGCACCTTGGGGAAGGAAGGATTGGATTGGATTGGATTATAAATTTATAACACCGCTTTGCTATCATAGGGAGGGTGTATAGGAGCTTTGGATGTGTCATATGGTCATATGTACTCAGTACAGAATCAACGGTTGCTCGAGAAGATAGCGGATTAGGGCTTTATTTTGAGATCAATAAGAAGAAGGCTGCAAACACGTGGCTAGCCAGGCTAGGTTTGGTTCGTTCGTCGTCGTCGAGAATGGAGCCACCTGTAGACGTAGCATCTAAAGCTAAGCGATTTATTGTGAGGCATCGTCAGGATCAAAGATTGATGTTTGGAAATAACAGAAAATCAGAAGAGCCCGCCGCTTTCAACGCGAGATCACCGTCGCAGGTTGATGGGGTCTACGCCATATATACATACAAGTTACAAGTTACATCGTACCCGCACTATGATATACGAATATTCGGAAAGTATTAAATTAGTATGGTGATTCAGTGTTTTTCAGCCATACTCGAGTAGTTTACCGGTCCTAATCCTTCATCCATTGCTCTCGTCGGTCAGACTTAGCTTGGTGGATGAAGCGACATGGACGCGTCTGTACTTTCTTCTACATACATTCGTAAAAGTCAGCCAGCACAAGATCTTCGTTGGTGTCTTTGGGGTATCAATATGTCAAAAAAATGCTAAAGAAGAGAGACCCGTGTATGTCGCGGATGTACATATGGCACCAGTGTGCTCGAGGGGCTTCGCTGTGGTGCGAAAAGATTAGGAAGGAAAGTAAGGTTGTGAAGTTATATACGAGGTATCACTAGCTAGTGTGGCCAACCGATGACAATGAATCACTCCTGCGATTAATATACTCAATCTGTATCTGATGATTTTGAAATATACTATTTGGTGAATGTTGTGACGTGACTAGGAGTGGAGTGGTAGTTAGTCTACAATTTAATATCCAAGTAAACATACTAGAGAGATCTTTGACATTTATCAAGAAGCTGCCCCTTATTCTCTGAAAAGAGTTTATTGATGATGAGTGTCCGCATTACTTTACTACCTACTGTTGAAAAGAGTACAGCAAGAATGGTCTTCCTGCATTCAGTTTGTTGAGATAGAACTTTCTACTCAGCCGTGTGAGTCGATGTGACCTACCTATATGTTTTACAACAAACTCAAACTCATATTGATGCTACAAATCATAATTCCAATTTCTTTCTTGGTATACTCAAGTCTGATTATTAATCATTGATATGATGTTCTCGGCTTGGCCTTATTTTCGGATGGGTCTGGGATGACTAGGGTATCTGAGGTATCTGAGGTATCTAGAGTACCAGTACAAGTCGTCTTCAGAAAGGAAGGAACGACTTTGTCATTTTCTCAACCACAGATAATTTGTTTAGTGTTAAACACCTGATTTTTCAACAACATAAATACCTACTAGGTAAGTAAGTACTTGCCTATATGGCCATTCTATAAAACATCCCACGGCTTGACGCTCATTCTATCTCTTTTAGGTGTAGCGTAAAATCAAACAGGATAGAGGAAGACTTACCAGGCAGGGACTTCGAGCTTCACGAATGCCATCTTGAATTTAGAACTCGACTCTCATGTACCGATTCCATGAGCCAATACAGTGAAATTATACCTGTTTTGACTTGCTTTTTGCCCTGTTCAGGCTGTTTTTGACGAGATTCGCCATGTCTTGCCATGTCTTACCATGCATGTATTCGAAAACTTATCTCTCTCAGATCCTGTCTCTCTTATCTCTTCTCTCTCCTCTCTCCCAGTAGACTCGCCCGCCTGCGCGAGATACAGTCTGTAAGTAGAATATGAACTGACAAGAATCTTGCCTTGTCTGCATCTTAATATGATGAAGTTGTATTTGTGTTGCTATCAAAGTTTTGAACTGTCCTTACTATATCTTCGTCTTCGTCTGTGATGAGCGAAAGCCCATACTACTTCGTTATGTTCTCGTTTCGTCTCAACCATCTGTGTCTTTGTTTTGTGTTTCCATACGAAATGAGACCAAAACCGGGATTGTTGTTCGTTGCTCATTGAATGCTCTAACTTAATATCGTTTACCACTTCAATTGATTTTGTTCTCTTATAAAACACTTTGTTTACTGTTATTATGGTTGACTAGATAGAGTACGGCTGGTGAACTGAACATTGAAAACTTTGGGATCTGGACTGATGTCTAGGCTATTCGAAATACTATGCTCTATAGAATTATAGATAATATATCTGTGAAGGCTATATATGAATATATACAGGAAAGAATCTGAAACAACTACTCGTTTATATAATAGTAAATCGCTGATATAAATCTCCTTCTGCCGCCACCTTAAACGAAACTTCTATATCCTCAACATTGATGCCTCTCTAGTCGACTACCCCAATGCAGAAGACGGTCTAGACAAACCACCAGAATCAGCCAACTGATCTTTTGGGCCCAGCTTACCATGTGCCTGAACCCCATTCTCCACATTCAACACCTTCTTACAATCACAACTCTCTTCGTTAGTCCTCTTTCCACACCCCTTACAATGCCATTCTCGAATATCTCTGCACTCATCACATTTCGTACAATACTCCCAGAGCATAGTCTGCTTCCATTGGTTCGTACAGAAACACCAATAATTCTTCTTCGGTTCTGTTTCTTTTCCCCCTACCACCCCAAAAGCCTCTTTAAATAACTCTTTCTTAACATATTGTCTTTCTTCATCGGTGATGTCGGCCCTCATCCATGCCCTTTCTATTCCTCCCAGTCTCCCCGAAGAAAACACCGCGAATGTGGGTGCTGACCATATATATCCATATTCAACACCCATTAACATACTCCTCAATTCCTCTATTGTATCTCTATGAATTAAATCGAATCTTCCATTCCTCGACTCTTTCCGAATCCATTTTAAAAGATCCGAACTAGCAGTAATATTGGCAATGGTAGAAGAATTGGGAGAAGATTTCAGCGTTCCAAAGAAGGAAGATAGATCGTTGAGCATGTTGACACAAGATTCGCATTTGCAGCCAGAGGAAGGGGAGGGCGAACAACCACGGCCGGACTTGTAACATTTGCAGCGGGTGGAGGAGCATCCGGAACGACAGTTACATGTAATAGCTTGAGGTGATGGATGTATATTGATTTCGGGATTTAGAGGAGGTGGTGGACGAGTGTCGAGCATTGGCTCTGGGGTAAGGTAGGGTTCTGGAGTCATTGGGATCTGGAAAGAGATTGATTAACTGAGATTGTTCGGGGCTGGATATGGGGCTTCATACTTCTTTTAGAAATGGTTCCTGTGAGTTCCTCGGAGTGGGCAGATTGCCATTAGTAACCTTAGGTAGGTGTACGAAAGGCCGGATGGTGTTTTCAGGTAAGCTCTCCTTATGTTCTACGGGAAGTGGTTGCAATGGTGGTTGTCGAGTTTTCAGTGATACTGGCACAGGAGCATACTGTCTCACTGGCTTTGTGGATTTCTCGATGCTCTCAACGACCTCGTCTTTAACCGGTATCCAACCCTCAGCTAATGGCTCGAGGTGGTCATTATTCGGCGACTTTTCTGGGAATCGAGCATGAATATGTCGTATGCATCTTGTAACATCGCCCCTTTTTAGGGCTACATCAATGACTTGCCGTAATTGCGAAGGTTTGAAGTCCATCAACAAATCTTGGATTTTCTCTTGACTAGGACCAGGTGTAGAGAGCGGGTACTTGCGTCTCTTCGCAGGATGAGCGTCCTTTTCGTGCATTGAACTTGGTTCTGGTCGATTCAAACCCATAATTATGATTGTAAGGATATTGGATATACAAGGAAAATAAGAGACAATGGAAACAAGGACGATTATGGAAGATATAATGAATCAAAGGAGAGATAGACATATTTGCGGCATGAGAAAAGCAAGTACTCAACGCGTCTCGCGTCAACGCGTGAGACGAATGATAGGAATCTGATAGATCAGAAATGAGAAATGCATTTTTTTCCCTGCCTCATTTCATTGTCTGAAAATAACTTGGGACTACTAAGTTGAAAGATCATGAAAATATAAGATGGCGCATAACATCAACACAGCTCATCAACCAAACCAAAATTATCGCTTCGAATATTCTTGAACTGTAGCATGGACAAACAGAGAGAGAGAAATCCCTTTTACGAGTACAAGTACAATGATAGAAGCTCGCTTAGTCATCATAGAGATTATTGCACAGACCATCCTCGTGCTTTCGCGTATCTCTATCAGATGCCAGATATCTCCAGGGTTTGCTCAAAGGACCAACTACAATCTTCTTGATCATATTGATTATTCACCTGCATCATACAAACTGCTCTTCATCTGCCACTTCAGTCACAGCCCAAATGGTACCACCCAACAAACGAAAAGCAGAAGGATCACCAGCGACACAGCGATTTACTAAAGTTCCTAGGACCGGGCTCCAGATGGGGCAGTCAAATCCACAATCATCCATGGCTGCATTATTTAGGGCGAATAAGCTAGTTCACGACTTGAAAGATTCGCAGCTTCGCACTATTCTCGTTCAAGCATATATCACACATCCTGACATAGCCCACGTAGTCGATTTGGAACATGCAAAGATGGAGCATTTAGATGAAGCCCCATCCGAATCCGACGCTGAACTAGATGCTGCTCCTGACGCTGCCTCTAGTTCCGAATCAGAAGACATTACTGACGAAAGACCTCGTGCGAACGGGGACGATGAGATTTCAGGATCGGAGAATGAAAACCCCAATAAAGATAGAAAGGTCACAGAAGTAAGCTGATGATCTTGATGCCATGCTGAAGGGACATGCTGAAAAATTCCCAGCTCAAACGGCGCGGTATTTTTGAAGATTTCTCCTGCTCCTGTAAAGACGAATGCGCAAGCAGTCGATGCCAATGTTCCAAGAACTCCTTCAGTTGCGGTCCAGACTGCAAATGTACCTCCTGTGTCAACATTTTGAACAAATTTGCCCTCTTCCTCGGAGAAGAAAGATTACGCGCTACCAATTGTTTTGCCGGTTGGATGAAGGCTCAAGGGCCTGATTTCGATCTTAATTCCGCATACACACAAGAAGAACTACGAAGTACGATTATGGGAGTCGATGAAAAGAAATATTACGATGAGCCCGAAGGAGACATATTCTACGATGGATCTGATGAAGAAATAGAAAAGCTCGGCCAAAAGTGGCTTAAAGCTAAGACTGAAGCAGCCAGAAAACCTATTCGGATCGCCTTGTTCAAAAGGGCATTGGTTGAAGATTGTGGATATTATTTTTCCTTCTGCTCTGGTGCATGGGAAGAATTTAGCCATACTCGACATTGCCCTGTTTGTAACGAGTGCAACGATTGGAGAGAGTGGCATTGTAAGGAATGTGGGGTGTGCCAATATGGAAAGTCGAATCCCTGTGAGGGTTGTGGTGGAGTGTCGAATGATTATCATGATCAATTCGATCATTAGTGACACATTTTGAATCGTCTGAATTACAAGAACCTCATCTCACTATCATCTCACAACTCAAGTCAGGTTGGGACTTTTGAGGAAGCTTTCGTTCAATTTGAGAGCGGATAAGCGCGAATGATGTATGACAAAGTAATTTGCGAATAGAGTGCGTGATTATAGACTATTGATACAAGCTGACGTCAATGCAGTGTTGAGTACTCCTCCAAGGTGTGTTTCATGGTATATGAACTTCATTTTCTATCTAATTCGATCCTACGAGGCTAGTTGAGCTCTATAAAGAAGGTGTTCTGGCGACCGACATCTTAAAGCACTGAAACGAACACAAGTACCATTCCTGTTTTGGTGTTTCCACCAATCTTTTGAGACTCCATCTGAAAGTTTGATGCAGTCCTTCGACTACTTGGCTTGTCTCCTTGGTACATTGAGCATCCCTTTGTTCCCATCAATAAATCTCCTACTCAATATCAACAGAACTCGCATTTCAGACTCAGTATCGCCCGCTTTGGATACATGGAAATGGAGTCTCTGTTAAAACTTCCGGATTGTCCGAAGTTGTTTTGGACATCAAACTCTTGTCCGAGCACGTCATCCCGACTGAATCGCCACGTTCCATTGTCGTTGCACTAAAAAGTTAGAGGGTCAGTAATTTCCCTTCCAAAAGTTTTACGGTGAAATCAAGAACTGGTTATGCTCACAGGGGATGGACTATCGGCACTATGATGAACCATTAGTATATGACTTGATTTATTCGCATATCAGACACAAACTTACGTTCCGCAATTTCCATACAAGTGTGTGATATTGAAGGTAAAATGATCGCCGGCAGGGTAAAGACTGAATGTAACGTTGGGATTACCACTGCATGGTTGTTCAATTGGAGCTCCATCGATTGCAAATCTATAAGTGGTTCGAGAGTTATAACTGCATGTTACATTCAGACCTTGAGGAGCGGGGGTTGGTGTGTCGATTAAGTTGAATGACCAACTGTGTTTATTTTGTTAGGATTTTCACACGTGTAATGGCTTTGGAGAGAGAAAAAGAGAGAGAGACAGAGAGAGAGAACTTACAAACCACCGGTTCCGTGTCTGATGTTTCCAATATTGATTTTTTGAACAGACCATGGGGTAGGAACCATGAATCCTTGTGCTAGGCCTGTAGTTATGGCTCCAGCGGAAATGAGGAGGATCTTTGAAAAATGCATGATTGCTGATGATTGATGAGAAGTTGATGATGATACTGTCAAGTTGATGATAACGAAAATTCAATGATGAGAAGTTGATGAATGATGGGAAGAGTTGTCAAATGGACAATTCTTCAATTTATACCCAAACACACAACAATACTCAACGGCAGGAACTCACTCATGATGAAGTTACAGCAATCACGACCCACCGTATTCGTTTCCATCTCATATGCAGCGCCAAGTCATCGTCCTTACCCCAACACGAAGCCCGCAATACGAGTTTTGTGCGTTTTGTGCAACATAAGGTACCAAATCTCGAACGGCAGCTACGATGCGTGCATGAGTCCGTCGGGAATCACGTCTCTCATACATAATGTGGGTCAATATTGGGTTATATGGCAACGTAGTAATGAAGTATACGGGCTGCAGCATGATTATTAATAAACTTTTCTTTTCCTCGGCATCGTCATCATTACTGTATTTGATCGAGAGAATGAACGTTTTGATTGAATGGGGATTTCGGTATGCCCGATGTGGTGAGTGTAAGTGAGGTTCTACAAGAACGGGTTACGGGTGGCGCCGAGGTGGTGTTCAAATAATTAATATGTCTTACAAGTTACGAGCTGGTCACCTGATTGGTGGCTGTGGAGAGAAGTGAAGTCTCACATTATCGTTTGGATAGCACGTGTTGTTTTTATTGTTCTCTACAAGTCGTTATTCATTATGAGCTGATATTTCACACAGCTCCCACCAGCATGTCTCAGTATTGGGAATGTTTCATCGTTGCTTATATACCCGTCGTCGAAAGTTGTGCCTTACCTGCCAGCAATTTTAGTACCGCCGATCACATATCCGAGTACATGGAACAAATGGTAAACTCTCCGCTCCATGGTCTCGTATCAATCGTATGCGTGGCTACTTATCTACCGATATATCGAACAACGGTAGATAAGTGGCCACGCCTACGATTATATTTAGACTGTCTAGTCACGCGTCTTTCTTGGTGCAAGATTGCTCCTTCTCATCGCTTTCCCATTACTTTACAAATATCCTGTCTATACATTGTAAAACCACGCTAGAAGCGAGAAATACAAGCAAGGCTTCTTTTACAAACTCCTTTTTGGTCCCGTCATCCATCATTACATATTAAGCAACGACATCCCTCATCATCAAGCGACCCCCACCTCGTCACTGGAATGAAATAATCGAGATCGCCCATCCTAACTCCCCCTTTGTTCTTCACCAAGCGGTTCTTATATTGAATTGTTGTCATCACTGAAGTAACCGTAGGCACCACCGCCAACATCCTCCTCCAACTAGCATCTTCATACATAAACGCCCGCGTCCTCTCGAATTTTATACGATTTGCGTCCACAGGAAGCCCGTATAAGTATGCACGTGTGCTTCTCTCTGGCTTCACATATGCGTGGAACCATTGATGTACCAGAGGATTATATCGAGTAGTTGAACCGGATGTCGTTGTGTCGCTTGCAAAGAAAAGCTTGCGTTGGAGGGGAGGCGATGTATCTACGATGGTGTGGAAAATCTTGTTGACACGTTGAATACGCACTAGAAGATCGGTGAGAGGAAGGTCGAGGAGGATTTGTTCGACGAGTTCGTGGATGGAGAAAACTGCATGGGCGGCTCGTGACATTTTGATTTTGGTTTTGGTTTTGGTATATGTTGAGTGAGGTCTTTGATGAGAAGATGGTTGTAAAGGGTGTAAGTTGGAGCACTGGGTATGAGGCATGGCAATCTCTTCAGTATTGATGAGTTAATAACTATTGGGTCTATGAATGTGCTATGATTTTGATAATAACACAAATTTGAGTCAGGACAAGGGGATGATTCACTGGAGGAAGGAAATCCCATTGTATCTCGACTCGATTTTTCGAGCTGTCATGATCACTATCATGATTCATATCTCTGTTTTCGAATAACTGAAAGTTCGCCATTGACTGGACTCCCATTTTGAGACTCGAAGATTGCTATTTTTATATAAACCAACAGTCTTTTCCTCGAAATATATACATACATACATACAGTGTATCACAAATCCTCTCCCCAACATTCCATCTTCATCCTCATATTCACTCAAGTTCTGATTCTCTCCTCGCCTGAAAGCGAAATTGACCTCGTCCAAAAGTTCTAACCGAGATTATGCAAAACCGATTTGAAGACCATGGTGCAGCATGTTACTTGACTATTTTATATGAAGGGAAGACCGGGTGTTAGCTACTAGCTGCACAATGCACAATGTATCGACAGTTCAAGGCCTATATAATATGCGCATATGTTCCACTGACTGCAGGGAATCTTGTATATAATCTTTGCACTCATTGCTAATTAAGAGTTAGAGTAGCAGTAAACGTGAAAATTGTCTAATAACTCTAGACTTATAAACTGAATGACTTTGCAATATCATCTAGATATCATATCTAGACCAATCAGAGAAAGCCGAGTTAAGGTGTTGGTCAATTCAAGTCTTTCATGCTATCAACAATCTACTCGAGTATAGGTTTTCCCACCGAAATCTCAAAGACGAAACATTCCTCTTCCTCCAACTTTCTCGACAAGCTTCACTTTCAAGCCCCTCATCTCTCTCCGACTCCCCTCTCGACTCTACCTTCTCAACGAATCTCACATACATACCTACATCCTCAAACCCCTTCTTCAACACCACATATACGAGTATATATACATATATAAACGGCCCTCCACAAACATTCCCAACTACATCTCACCAACCTCACATCCTCTTCATCCCCATCCCCCTCCCCCTCCCCCATATTCAAAAATTGAGTAGGAATGTACAGTATCCTACACAACACAACACAACACATTATATTTTCCATGAGGTAGTAGCATCGCATCTATTCAAAAATTGTACGAGTATTGGCCAAATCTAATGCTCGTCTGTCTATTCGAGTAATTCCAAGTCTTACAACAGAACAAGACAAGGAAATACTGCATAAATTCACAAAGTCACAAATCCACATGCGTTGTATAGATCACAAGATAGACAATCCGTCTGTCGTCGATTCAAATGATGAAACAAACTACTCTAAACCATTGCTCTTACTCTACACGTATACAGTACAACATACTACTTCTCAAGAACTACTCGAGTAGATGAATACACTTATAACTTGCAACCGACACTAGACATAATTAATGACATACTAATATTATGACTGACTGACTAGCTAGGTGGTCATATCGGGATGAGGATAGACCTATACTATAGTATCTTAATAAGAATCGTAACGTATATTTGTATATTCACGAATGCCATGCATGCTATCTCCTATCTTATTGACCTACCTAGAACCCGAGATTGAAGAGGAAGAAGAAGAAGAAGAAGAAGAAGAAGAAGAAGAAAGCCAAGAATATGTGCAGAAGAAAGATCACATTTATACTCTAGTACAAGGGAGAGAGAAAGGAAGAATTTCTCGCTAAAGGATTATTACTCTTGTGAGAAGACACTTGGAACATAAAAGGACGGAGAACACTCCAATGGTGAAGGGTTACTGACCGCACCATAAGTGCGTATTGTATTCGTGATTTCTATGAACGTGTATAGAATCCTTTGCACCGATTGTTTCTCCCTAGACCTGGGATTCTATATCATCTCCCTTCTTCCCGACGTTCTTCCCAGAGCAAGCCTTTGGTGTCCTCTTGACCACGGCTTGATGGCTATGCTATAGTAAGACTTGATGCCAGCCATAGAGCAATACACCAAATAAGACTCAATGATTCTTCGAGAGGTCATTTGGGGCTGCCAGTAGGGTATGAATGGGGAAAGTATCATGCTGCTTCCCCATTAAGCAATCGTTTATTCATGTAATGTATAGCATCTTTCCATATCATCATATTGAATTTTTCAACGGCCACCAAACAAATCTGTTATACTTAATCTTCTGCCTCCCTGTACTTCAGACTGGGTCTGAATTTGGCTAGGAAATGTATTCTCAGCTTCGCAAGGTCCCGCGAATCCCTTATCTCCATAGTTCTCTAACTTGTTCTCAAGCGCTTGCACTTCGTTCATGGTGGCATGCGTCTTTCTCCATCTATTGAGAATTTCTGTTTGATTCACATCTCTTGTACCCGTCTCATCGTCGTGAATGAACAAACCAAAGGCCTTGGCTACCGGAATACCTTCAGTCGCCTCTGTATTTTTAACCGTCCAATATAGATACTCGCCGTTAATCTCCACGTTGTTCATTTCCCTAAAGTTGTGTATGACATTGTTGAGACCCTTGCGATTGAGTACCACTATACAGTAATCTTCGGTGCCAGTTGTTGGTGAGGGCAAAAGCTCGCATACAAATAATGTGCCCTCGATCGGAAGTTTCTCCCATGTCTTTGATTCCAGAGAGAACATATACATAGTGGCAGATGCAGCAAGCGACGAGATTTTTTGGATTGAGGGATGGTATCGTCTGAGGACTGTGAGATTGAGTTCGTCGTTAGTGCGAGTAGGAGGTGCGGGACCTAGGATTGGTGTTTCGGTGTCATAGTCGGAAGCTTGAACTTGATGTAGCTGAGAAGGTCCGGGGTGATTTTGGCGCTGGCGAGGCTTTCGAGGAGTCATTTTGACGGCTTAGTTTTTGCGCGCGAAGACAGAAGATTTATAAGTTAAGATATTGTAGACTGTAGACTGTAGACTGTAGGTCACAGGTAGCGCTGTTCTGTGGTTGGTATGGTAGGTTTGACGCGACAGCGATGCGATGATGTGATGAAGTTGTCGGGTGAGTTTAAACAGCTGGAGAGTTAAATAGAGTGTGGGATCACAAGTACGATTTCGTCTTTGATTTAGTACGGCCAAGATTGTCTATGTTGTGAATGACTTTGATGTGATGGATCATTGGGAAATGTACATGAAGGATTTCAGCCTCGTGGGAAATGCCCCCCTTGTTGAAATGATGATGACTGTGACTTAAAATTACCAGGGGTCAAAATGGGCTTTAACTTCTAGAATACATCCCCCACCAGCACTCGGTCCGTACAATAAAAGTAACACAATTAATTAATTAATCAAATACTGATAGAGTATTAATCACTCCCTTTCTCTTAGTTCTCCTCTTTCCTTCCTTAACAACAAACCTCTAGGAGTATTATATTATAATTCTGAAGTTCTTTACGACTCCATTCCTTGCAACAAGCACCCCCCCCCCCCCCGGTGAGCTTAAGCTTACACTTCTTATCTACGTCATTTACCCCAGCATTCAAAGAATAAGAAAAGGGAAAGGAAGAAGCTCGAAAACGATCTTAGGAGAAAGGAAAGGGAAAGGAAAGGGAAAGGGAAAGGGAAAGGGAAAGGGAAAGGAAAAGGAAAAGGGACCGCGGACAACCAACATGCCGGGTTAAACCTTCTACTTGCCTATATCTTGAAACTTTGATTCATCTATTTTTCCAATACACTTTATACACGTTATAAAAGCTCAAAGATGGCCTCGAGTACGAGAAATTCGATAGATGAAAGCCCTGTCGAAGTCGAACTGCCTATGACCTCGAGTCCACAATCCCTTTCAAAAGCCGTCTATGCGCGACGAGACGAATACACTCGACCACAGAAAATCAAAATAAAGATTGGTTGTTGGAATGTTGCTGCTTGTCCTGGAACTGAAAAAGATCTAGCAGGATGGTTTGTACAAGGGAAAGGGATCGACAAACGACTAGCTGGGCTTGAATTAGCCAATGCGATTGAGAAGGACGACAGCCAAGCAAATATAGAAAGTGTCGATGAACAAGAATCAAGGCGAAATAAGAAAGAATCAACAATCCCGCTTGGCGACGAGGGTGTAATAGCTGGAGGAGAAGATATTGGATTATACGTATTAGGATTACAAGAAGTCGTCGAGCTCACGTCTGCGAGGGAATATATTGGCAAAGTCTATTCAAATAATGATCCTGTAACAACATGGAGGAAAGCACTTTCTGGTGCTTTACCTGAAGGCTACAAATTAGTAGCTGAACAGCAGCTCTCTGGTCTACTCATATTCATCTTCGCCTCCCCGACTGTTGCACCTACGATAAGTTCTGTTAGTAGCGTCAGTGTTGGGACTGGATTCATGGGATATCTAGGAAACAAGGGCGCCGTCACTACGAGAATAGTAATTGGAGAAACAACTCGACTTGTATTTGTCAATTCACATTTGGCTTCGGGAACGGATAAGGCACATTTGGAAAGACGGATTTGGGATGTCTCACAAATATTGCAAAGAACGCATTTCGTCCCGATAAGCCGAGGCGGAATTCTAGATGATGCTCAGGAGAGCATTGGGGACGAAGATTTTGCTTTTTGGTTTGGAGATCTAAATTTCAGATTGGAGGGGCTACCAGGAGATGACATTCGACGGTTATTAATGCTGCATAGTAAAGGAGAATACGATGTTGGGACGCAATCAAGAAGGAAGATTGATAAAGAAATCGATGCTCGTGAAGGACCGATTGTTATACGGTCCATTGATAGTGATGACGAATCCGAGGAAGAAGAGACACACAAAAGCAGTAGCATATTCGACCAGAATGATGATTCTTCGACTGTTACCACGCTTCCGGATCCAGATGATTTTATACAAGATCCCAGCCAAGATCCCGGCTCGTTGCAAGCTACCATTGACTCAATATTGCCACATGACCAGTTGAGGCATGTTCAGAGAGCTCGAAGGGCATTCCACGAGGGCTGGAGAGAAGGACCGATAACATTCCTTCCAACGTACAAATACGATGTTGGGCGTATGGGAGTTTTTGATTCTAGCGAGAAGAAGAGGGCACCAAGTTGGTGTGATAGGATTTTATTTCGAACACGGAGAGACAAGTTGGTATTTGATGCGAAGATGAATGAAGAGGCATCAGCAAGGATAAAAGACGAAGAAATGAGAGCTCAAGGATTGGACCATGCCGCAGATGATGAAAATGTTCTTTTTAGCTATGACCCGGATGAAGATGGAGAGCAATACAACACGCCTTCTAAGGGCGATGATTATGACGATTATGATGAATACGACGAGACGGGGGACAATGAAGCAGCACCAGTCATAACTAGAGATGGATCCGTGGATCGAATAAATCTAGATGTCTACACATCACACCAACGAGTCCTCTCATCAGATCACAAGCCACTCGATGCTATTTTCACTCTAGAATATGACGCAGTCGTACCGGAGTTGAAATCCAAAGTACAACAAGAGGTTGCTAGAGATCTCGATCGAGCGGAGAACGAAGCCCGGCCTGGAATCACCATTGTTGTGGATCATTCACAGGATACAGAAGAAAGACAAGGAAACGACAAGCCCCGACAAAAGTCCACTGATGGAAATGGAGTAGTTGATTTTGGTGATGTTGAATTCGACCATGGAGAGACTAGAACTCTAACGATTGCAAACACTAGTCAAGTCACATCCACATTTGCATTCGTAGATAGGCCTGGTGTGGAAGGGCAAGAAGATAGAATCGCACCGCCGTGGCTCAGTGTATGTTTTGCGGGATTTGCGATGGATGAAGATGATCGAGCTCTCAAAGAGCTCAAGCGAGAAATTACCCTAGAGCCTGGAGATGCCATTAACGCCACGTTAGAAGTGCTTGTGGACGACTTCTCTTCCGTAAAGTCACTGAACGATGGACATGTCCTGCTTGAAGACGTGTTGGTATTACGAGTCACTGATGGAAGAGATCACTTCGTTCCGATAAAATGCAACTGGCTCCAGTCTTGTTTGGGGAGATCTATTGATGAGCTCACTCATATACCGGAAGGGGGCGTGCGAGCTTTACTACCCCGCCCACGAGGCGAACCTGGGCCTCCTGTCAACAGAGGCCAAAAAGTAACTTGGTCCGCACCTCGAGAGCTACTTAAGCTCACACAAGTCGTGGACTCTCTCACTGATCGTGTTGTTGCCGACTCAAATATGTTAGAAGGCGCAATGATCCCTAGAGATTTTCCAGGTTGGCCATTTGATAAGAGTTCCTGGAGACTTAAAGACAGATCTGCTAGGATTACTTTGAAAGGTCGGGTATTGGCAGCTCTGGATTCCGATCAAAGCATATTTGATGTATTTCCCGTTGAGGTTCCTGCCGCTTATCGACTAGAAATCGTCGCTGAAGTTCTCATCCTATTCTTGCGTAGTCTTACGGATGGCATCGTACCTACAAGTCTATGCGAGCAAATTGACGCAAATACCACATCGCGAGCAGGAAATACTCAATTCGATATTGAAGAAACAAAAGGGTGGGTCTTGGATGTTTTATCTTCTTTACCGCATCACAACATATCCTTTGTATTCCTCACGTCGACTCTCTCACGAGTTGCGGGAGAATTGGCACCAATTCCGAAGGTGAGACGTTCTCTTGATACATCAGTTCGCATTGGTTTCGATTCTGTCAAGAGAACTTTGAGTTGGAAGGGAAGAGCAGCGCCACCCCCGGAAGACCCAGCTGCGGTCAGGAGGAGGGAAGTCAATATGGCTTTTGCGGAAGCATTTGTGGGTGTGGTTTTCAGAGGGGTTGTACCGGTCAAGGAAAGGGACAAGAAGATCTTGGAAGAAAGGAGGAGAGACATTTTGGAAGCTTTCTTGAAAGGATTTGTTCCTTGAAGAAGAAGAAGAAGATGGGATGGAAAAGGGTAATGATGATGTTTGTAACGATTAGCGAGCGGCTCATGAATGATTTGGTGTTTTGGATAGATGGTGGGTAACAATTGTTGGAATTTGGGGACAGGGGAAAGGGGATCAGGAGAATGAGATGGAATGGAATGGGATGGGAGTGCTTGAAAGTGCAATCTAGATGAGAGTATATAACAGGCAGGGGAGAGGCGAATGAATGATGGATGGATGATACTTTACGCGTGTACACTTGCCGATGCCAATATCTCACTCAATGCATTGGAATGGAAACAATTGTCGTACTTTATGTCCAGACAGGTGGAGTATAGGATAGGCACCCACGGCGTGAAAATAACATGCTGCTGATACCCCTGGTTGATTTGTGTATTAATGGAGCCACACATAATTTCCACCTGTTGCATAGACAATACCTTGACCATGCCCAGATCTCACAAGCGTTCCCATGAAAGCGATATTAGTCGTGCTATTCAAGGGATAAACAGATCTAAGCGATCAATTCATTTCATATCATTATTCCATTTCATCATTAACCTCCGCCTTCCCCTACACACACGTCATCCCACCCCACGTCATCCCACCCCACTAATAAATACTCAACACATCCGTCCCATTCCCATTCCCATAATCCACCCCACAAACATCCACATACGAGCCCACAACCTCCGCCCTCTCACCCAACCACTCCCTCACATCATCTTCCTTACAACTCGTTCCTGGTCCCCCCGTACACGTCACTAAATCCTGAGGACTATTATTGACCAGCACTCTATAGTAAGTTCCTGCTTCATACCCAAAACTATCGCATTCCATCTTCTCAATCGCGACGTTTGTCAAAAATGGAAGAATGGCACTAGATTTCCATGCGCGGCCGTAGTTTATTTGGTGCAGGGGCATGGTGTTGTTGATGTTGTTGGATCCTGTATATGCGGAGTTGTTGAAGAGACCCATGGCGACGATGACCGTGGGTGGGAGTTCGCGGTGCGTGAATGAGATGTAGAGATCTTGATCGGCGGTCGCGTTTGAGGCGTTGTTTTGCGTCGTCATTAAAGTGTTGAATGTGGCGTTTACCCAGGGAAACCCGATTGCTCCCGATGCTTCATTGCCGTACCCACTGTTGTAGAAGTATTGGATGTCGTTGGTGTATTCGAAACCGAGCCAGTCGGTAGGAGAAAGAACGGAGAGGTCGCAGAAGGGTGATGAGCCGCGGATGACGGTCTCGTAGCCGCAGAGGAGCGACATTCCATATACGTCGTCGGCGGTGAAGTTGAATGCTGGAGCTAGGTTGTTGAATCGTGCAGTTATGGGTTTGGCGTAGATTTCTTGGAATTCGCCGGATTGATCACTGCCGCCAGAGGAACTGTATGCTGGACAAGAACTATATGGCGTCAAGGAGTTCGCACTATCGTTCTTTCCTTCGTATATCTGAACAATCTCAATATCTGAAGCATCATCTGCAATTCCATTGGAAAACGACTGCGCAGTCTTCACGGTTCTCTCTGCAGTAGATGTCCATATCTTGTTCGGAGTTCTCAAGCTTTGGTATCTCTGTGCAATGTCCACACCCAAGTTTGTAGCCTCCAACTTACCCGACCTCGTCAACATTTCGATCTCGGGATCGGTGATAGGCGCTTGCCATGTCGAAAGGAAGGAAAGACTTGGTATGCTTGCCCATTTAACCGATGTGTTTGCAAGCTTTTGCACAAATGGCTCAATGTACTCTTCATAATCGAAGTCATTGGCATAGATTGCGGCATGGCGAACAAGGTACGCAGCTCGAGTAACATTGCACCCTTGAGGAGGAGCAGGGTCGGTAGGTGGATCTTGAGGATCAAATGGAGGTGCGGTTCCAGCTAGATGATGCAATGGATCGAAAGAGTAGGAGTTGGGATAGTGAGAGGCTACATGAGTAGCTTGGAGAGCGAATGTGAGGAGAATGGCTAAGAAATGCATCTTGAGATAGATGAGAGGAGACAGAGATAGGGTTGAAGGAAAGAAGTAGAATTCGACCTACTAATAATACTGACACTTTACCTTATACTCTTGTACCTGAAAGATTTCCACAGAGATCATCATGATGAATTGAATTATACCAACTAAACCAAGGCACGAAAAGATACCCACGATATGATGTGGGAACAGTCGGCAGCTAAAAAGCTTAGTTTGTTGCTTTTCACAGGTTTTTTTTGTTGATGTCAGCCAAGATATATATATATTGCTAAATCTCCGCATCCAACCACATTGTGGCTTTATAATGTGGCTTGACCAGCCACAACCAAGGATACTCGTATAAAACCATGAATTATTTTCCCATTATCCCAAATATCCATATGTATCTATCTGTATACGAAATACACATCACATTATGATCAAGCCTTCAACAACGATTCTTCTAAATCCAGCCACTTCTGAACCAACGTCACTAGCTCTTTTCGAAAAGCGGCCGTTCCCAACCATGTTTCTCTGGGATTTGGTAGTATGGACGATAAACAATCTGGAAGAAACCAATGATTGAAGTTATCGTGCATGTTCGTAAGAGCGGCAAATTCGTCAATGGTAGGGATGTCTGGTCTGTTCCTCGTCTGCCATACGTTCCATTCCTCATACGCCAGCATGATGAGTGTGGTCAGAGTCCACAGGAAGAGAAATTGAAGAATCAGAAAGATGTAATTGAGGAAGACTCGAATCCGTGAAGAACGGCTGGACTTGATATTGGTGATGGCTTGATGTATGGCATCGGCTTGAGTTTGCAGTGATCCATTCCAATGACTAGAGGGTCGGCGCACGAGACGCGCTGCGTCCCCAGTAGGTGGTTGTGGTGTCTTGTGTGAATCATACCACACGTCGTCTGATTCTTCTCCTGTATCTGAGTCTGATTCATCGTCTAAACCGGCATCTTGGTCCACCATTGTCAACACGTTCATAAAGATACCCTCCACATACACTCCCGGATACAGTTCAAAGTGAATGCATCTTCCGTTTGGCCATTGCATATTCGCAATCGAATCGTCCCATCCTGTCAACCTATGGGTAATCAATCCCGATTCCTCGCCCATATGGTCCCACCTCGCTCTATACTCCTCTCTGCAATCTTCGCTTGGGTAAACGCTACTGAATGCCAAATCATTTGCAACCAGGAATTCTCCAACCCATCTCGGACCTCCCAGTAACAGAACTCCGGGCTGTCCTGCGGCGTCGGCAATTGTTTTCAGGTAGTCTGTTTTGTCATCTTGTGTGAAATCCAATCCTTGAGTGATGAGTGAAAGATCTATCACATGTAACCATTCGAATTCGCGATTGGCTTTCGCAGCAAGGTGTGTTTTGCCAATGGCAGAGAATCCCAGAATGATTTTCGCTCGTTGTAAGTCGCTCTCGAATCGGGGGTGTTCTTGTTGTCCCAGTCGAAGAGCAGAGGTGACGGCTCAGCCGACGAGTGGGAATATTTCGATCCGCTAGATGGAGGTGTTTTTCTTCTCGCCATCCGGACTTAATTGATGCGATAGAATGGAGAGTCATGCTGATAGGATTTTGCGGGTGAGACGACTTCATGTAGTCCACATTCTGGGCAGTTATAATTCATTTCCATGAATATATGTGATGGTTTGGGCAGTAACAAACCATTGTTCTCGTCAATGTTTATCCAAAGGGTCATGAATGTTGACGCAAATGTATATTTTCAGGATTGAAACCTTTGAAAACAACTCTCATCAACAAAATGATTGTTTTCGAACAAACAAACGTTCATGTCTCACTATTCTCACCGAAAAAGTCTTAGTCTCGCTAGCTGCATTCCGAAAGCGTCGCTTAGGAATCAGGGGGATCTCAAGGCAACTTCAATACCTCCAAATACTTTTTCATTCAGGAATAAAAACGACTCATAGCCAAGCTCAAGTATGCACTGGTCACTTACTCCTTCATATCAACATAGGCAGCTATTCTAATCATTTACTCCCTACCATTTTGCCACCTACCAAATTTTATCAGGCGCAAGTTGTGGAATGCACTACCTACCTCTCAAGTGAAAATGCATACCGTACTTTCATAACGCATATAATTTTTCCAAGCAATAATAAACGGCGAGCGAAAGTTTTCTGCTCTGCATTACTGCCTTGAGTCTTAGATGCCCTAGTGCATACATATCTGCAAGTGAGATTGAACGATGACCTTTCCTATCTGCAAGTAAGCATCAGCATCGGCGTCCCGAATAGTGTAGATTGGAGTTCATATTTGGAACGTCGGATCTATTTGACATGTCAAACTTATTTGGATCGTGTACCCTGTTTGGGTTTATTTTCAAAACGTCAATTTTTGCTCACTCGGAGATACATAGTTTTTTGAATACTGGGAGCTTTAAGATCTGGATTGTAGTCCGGACAATTGAAACAGCGCTAAGTATTGTTGTAGCACCATACTATTGACGTGTTCTTGAGGATTATTTGCGAGATCGGAGTTCAAATGTATGTTTCTTATTCACTGGTTACCGGTTGAACCGGCTCGACCCTTTACCTTAGCTGTGCATCTAGCTTCAAATCTAAAGGTTTGGAATTATTATGTTGTACGAGGCCCGAGTAAGACCGCATATTTAATCAGCGTCTTACCTGCAGTTCATCAATTGCTGTAGGCCTTTAGATTGGAGGCGTCTGCCATTGCATTGCATTTCGTGGTACGCGGAGTTAAGCACGCGGTTGCCTATGCACCAACGTTTCAGAAACGATGCTCGGTTGTTAGATCTTTCGGTATGATTAGAGAATAAAGAGTTGCCTTCTAGAAGTTTAGTACAAATTAAATATTGTTATATGTTTGGATTATACTTCCACTATCGACAGAGTTATCATTACGAGTTAGAAAAGCTCTCCTGGAATTAATTACCCACAAGCCAATGACTCAAATCAACTCATACGATCATAGATCTTCTCTCTCCACATGCATCACGCATGCGCAATAACTCATCATCATCACCTTAACCCAATTCCTAACCCCCCTGAAGAAAGGGGTTCCCTCGCTTCGCACCCCCATCCTACCACGCGCTACACTACGCCGCATAAAATTCCAACAGCAAAAACTGCCAATCTAAAATCTAACCACCATTACTCATCAATCCTTACCTTACCCTAACACCCCCGTTCGCCTTCGCCTTCGCCACTGTCAAACACGAGGTTTCCACGCATCTCACCACGTACCCGGCAAACACCCTAGAATTTTCATGAAGCACGTTAAGTATCCCTCCCCCCAAGGCTCATTCGACACCCATCAAATCAAGTGCCAGAAGTCCACTTTCTCATCCTCTCACTACTTTACTTCTAAACGCCATTTTTACCAGAATTTCTTACTCAGCGGCACCTCTATTTTGTCAATTTCCCAGAAGTTAGAACTTCGACCGTTTATGGAACGAATATTAGTACAGTACATGGACGATCAATAAATATATCATCCCCATCTATTCCTAGTAAAGTAATTTTAACATTCTGCATCCGCATTCGCAGCACCATTGGTTCTCAGGACCCAATATCGTGATGTAAGAAAAAGTACATAGACGAATCGGAGGGGAAGCAGGACATGCAATAGATCGCATGTAACATGTTGATGGAGGGGAAAGAAAATGACTCAGGATGAGGAGGGTCACTCGCTTACTTATCTGCGTGAGAAGGGTTATCTACTGTAGTAAGATGACTTGAGCTGTGGGATTCCGGGAAGATGTCTCATGTTTCGGATGGCGAATGCGGATGCGAGGCTGACGCCCGCCGATTCGGACGTTGGGTGGAAACGTGGAAATGGGGAAATGTGGAAATGTGGGTGCGAGTTCCTACCTGGGCTGGGGTCGAGTTGAAATGAAAAGATCGGAATGTTTCAGAAGAAACGTGAATGGGGAGAGTGCGAGATTGCAAGTTTGGTACACTGGCGACTCTTGTTGGTTGGTCTTTGATTGAACTGAATGGACCGTTTGGTGTTGTTACAATTACTTCCTGCTTGGAGGATACGGTAGGTAGTGATGGATCTAGCTAGCTGGGAGCTTTGGATATGAGATGTACATGAGATACTGCAAGTTGTTAATACAGTAGTACAATTGCATTCATCTAAAGCGTTCTATTGAAAGTCTAGCCCACCCATATCCCGATCCACCAATTCGTGAAATCCCGTTGCTGTGAAATATCCAGCCAGCTTGCAGTGGTAATCTATAAATCTAAAAAGTGAAAAACAACCATAACATATGCATCGCCCATCCGTCGTAGTAAATGCCCAATTTCCAGTTTCCAATGTTTCGACCAGCGACTCTAATGATACAATAATCTATACCATACCCCATGCCAAATCCCAATGCCAAAACCATGCCAGTTCCAAATGAAATCATCCCATTCTCATGCCCAGAACCTCAAGCCCCCAAATTCTATTCCCAAAAAGATGATCATGCCCATGCCAAAGCATGCAATCTATTGACTGATAACGTGTTGTACATTGCGAGACTCGAACTGAGTGCTGTATATTTCAGTCGAGTATTTGGTCGAGATTCAAATCCGCAGCACTGCACAAGTAAACTGCAATAATCTTGTCGAAAGATTCATGCTAGTAAGATGAATGCGCATCGCAAGTGTATCCGACAAGTAATGTTCTTTCTTCAACATTGTGGCCCCTTGTCCCGTACGCGGGGCACATATCTATTGCGTGAGTGTAGTAGATACATCTACAGACAGAGTGGCGTTCGACAAGGATGTAGCACATGATCTTAGATTTGCGTGGGCCGTGGTTTGACAAAAATCGTGGTGTGAAGGTAGAATGGGTGAAGGATTTATGAGATGTGAGGTGTGCGGTTTTGATTGTAGACTGTGAGAAGTGTATGATCTATGAGTTGTGAGAGAGAAGATATCGGTCGAGTATCGATGTCTTATATAGCCTAAATATTGCCTGTGTTGGTCGAAATGAATTTGGCAAGGGAGAAGGGAGCCTTGAATAACGACAATCCTTCAAGTCTTCGCCTCATTATTGTAGCTGAAGAATAAGGCGGCCATGACTATAATGCCTTCTACCATTCATCATAAGCATGACTCTTTTATGATGAAATACGAGTGTTGAGCCTCCACAAGTAGCTAGATTCCCTTTCAGGACCATTGATCGAGAACCGAGGTAAGATGGGTAGTCGTGGAAGTAGCTTCCAAGGAGTAAGATAGGCCTGAGTGGTAACTGTTATCTTTTTTTGGAAGAACATAAGAAGGTTGACTACTTTCAGGGGGAAGTAACGTGGCTTTAAAGGCTGAGTCCCTCGCCTCTCAGACTAGGTACAGTAATAACATATACAAACTTTGGATCCAACGCTTCTCATTGGAAAGAGGTCGATCTATACGTCGCACCGCATAAAGCTATAGTCATGTGCTTTGTAGTACCTGATTAAGGTTCGCTAGCTGCAGCCCTACCATAGGGCTACGCCGTTCGTGATACTTTGCATTCATTGCATTTTCGGTCCTTTTACTGGCTCTCCGTCAAAATTTTACGACCGGGAGTATGTTCTGGAAACCTAATCTGATGCCTGGGATAAGCGGTCAGCATATTAGCAAATTTCTCCATCCAAATGCTGCTTTTTTTGACACAGTGCCTATCATTGCCTGTTTCCGTTGCTCTCGACTTTTCAATGCGATGACCTCAACTCCCTACGCCGGACCTACTTTGCCGGACTAATCTTGCCTGGTTAATGAATAGCTGGTTAATAATGAAGACTTTTGAAAGACAGTCAGTTGCATTCGGTGCCATTCTTTTCCCTCGAGCACCTGAAATCATTGTGTATACAAGCTACCAATATGCACTGAAGGCCTGAGCCCGTATTGTTAGTGCTCTCAAACATACTTATGAAAGAGTCCCACAGGTTGATTATACGACTTAGTGGATCTCCGATGTACTCTTTGCTGAGGCTTAGGTCTCATGGATTCAACTCGAGCTAATACCGTAGGATCGTTTGACCAAAATCCACAAATTGCAGATAGTTTCAATAGCGGTGACTCGACACCTGTAGAAAAGAGGTGAACGCAACGGTGATTAATGATCATGCACAAGAGTTGATAACGATGCAATACGACCTTACCTCTGCGAGGACTCATGCAATTTCAGGGGTGTTATATCAGCCTTATCAATATTGAGTGCGCAACCCTCAGATCTCTTGTTTTGATCCCGCCGTAGCAATATCAACTGCAACGGGATATTGTCCGATTTTTTTTATTGCAGCGATACTCCGATGGTGCTACATCTGTGTCAAGTTGAAACTTCCGAGAAATAATTCTCAGTCTCGTTGGAAGAATTGGAGGCTCTCATTCGCATGCTAGTAGCCAGACATGCATGTCATACTGTTCTCGATTATCTTGTAGATTGGGAGTGCCAAGTCCGAATGGGGTTCGACTGTTGACGCATCATGCACGCACACAATAAGATGACAGCTCAATTAATCCGAAGTAAAATAGTATATAGGCGTCTCCGACGAACTTTCGACAGCAACAAGAAGGAAAAAACCGAGAAAAGCAGCACGGCAAGCTCACTTGAATCATGCCACTTCTCTCGTACTTCCGAACTAGGTTGGAGGAGTGCTTTCAAGAAAGTCTGTCAACCCTGCCACGTGGAAGAAATGGGAGAAGGCCGACTGCCTGAAGATCGTACAGCTTTGCCCTACGTGAAAGGTCTTGCCGTGCCTCCGGATAACAAATGGAGATGTTAACCCTTCAGTTCTCCGGGTAGATGAACCAGGGGTAAATGTTGACATCATACTCTCAAGGCAAAGCCCAATTCCAGTAGTAATAACAGTGACACAGTAACCCAGTGTCGCAACGTCGCACATGCCCGAGTTGATTGTTGCTCAATTGGCTGTTTTGAGGACTTCCTCTGTCTTGATCAAAAGTCGGTGAGCTTAAAAATGTCCAAGATGTCCCAATGGGGAAGGTCATCTAGTCCGGGTCACGTGAGGTTACAAGTATCACATAATCTTGTTTTTCTGAATGAGCCTTCTCTTCTCTCAACATCAATAACTTTCTTCCTACTTGGTTTCATATCCCCATCCGACCTAATATTACACATCAAATCAACTACTGACGCATTATTTCTTCTTTGGATTCTTTGACTGTGTGAATGAATCCTTCGATTGTCTGCATTCCTGGGAACTTGCTTGCTTGAATGGCTATCTCCACGAAAATCGTCCTCCCTCCCCCCCGAAAGTTAGAATACTGAAAGATATTTGTGAATGTGAATGATAGCTATATCGAGTCTTGAGATAGTTGAGAGTTGCGTTCTTAGTAGACAAGGTCTGAACGTAGAGATGTTTTGTCGTTGATTTATAGCATCTTCTCATCCATGATTTGTGGACTTTGCATCGGTCAAGCGCCGTTTTGAAGAAGAACAGCAGGCATCAGTGTTATATCAGATGTGCGCATGAGTACTGCGTGCTTGAAGTCATGTATCGTTGCCGTCTTATCCACCATTAGATTGATTGTTTCTCGATGAAAGAAGTCTAAGTTCTGTTGCATAGCCCTCGGTTCAGCCTTTATGTTTCTGAGCATTTTGTCTATTGTAGGAAGCCCTTATTGAATTGCTACTTTCAATAATGAGGATTCATTGTCTAATTGACAGATCGCATTCATTTTCCTATTTGATTGTCGAATAATAGCTACGCGTGAGCTTGCGAAACAGTTACACCTTATGCACCCAGTGGGTACAGCCCATGATCCGTCACAAGTTTAGGGTGTCAGTTTATCGTGAGCCTCATTGTGCTGGTATTTTCAACGTGTTATACTAGATTGAATAATTTTGCTTGTATGAGCCTTTCCCGGTCGGATCAATAAGGTCGGACCGTTAAAGGTCGCCGCCTCAATAAAGCAATATGCTCATCTCGCTTCATAATCCCGCGGTTTTCAACCAGTGGGGAAGAGCTTACTGTGCCACCCGAAGGCAGCACGTTGCCGAGTAAGGCCAGAATGTTCCTACTCAGCCCCGATTTGTAGTTTCAAGAGAATAGGAGGACGAAGGAAGCATTGCTTATATTTATTTTCAGGGGCCATACCTTTTACCTATCTTGATCTCTCATTTTGCCATTCAGTCTTGTCTTCTTCTCTTCCTTTTTTCTTTCATTGATTGACCTCAATTGGCATGAAAATGCATTTCAAAAAGTTTAAAATGAGGTTGTTGGCCTTGGTGTCGACAAGTGTTCTCGTAAATTTAGCAGCGGCAGCGACATCAGAAGTCACCGGCTGCGCAGCAATTGCGGATGTTTTCAAATCATTTAGATCTGCTCATCCGACAGGTAAAGCGAATTCCGTATGTCTACAGTTTGTGACTAACGCAAAAATCTAGCGACAAATCGTCCGACCTTCAATGCCTCCGTCGCTCTTCAATGCCTTGAATCTGTGCCCCTAGATGTACAACGATCCTCGGACTTCGTTGATTTCGTGGAGCCATACTGGCAGTTTCAAAGTACCCTAGCCTATCTCAAAGACCCTCCAGCAGATTATCCCTTGCCAGGTGCTGATATGCTAGGAGGTTTGGCTGAGATTAAAGAGAATATCAATTCGGGATATTATGCAAACCAATGGGAGTTTGAAAAGGACCTTTACGCTCTAGGAAACATTTAACCTCATGACTTTCACGTCAATTTACCTCTTCCTCTGATGCGTGTCTTCTCCTTCTCTACTTTAGATGGACCGTTAGTATCCATATCATCCAATGGGTTAACAATGCCAGAGTTATACTTTAAATGTATGTTCGGATTTGATATCTCACCTTTATCATTCCGTGATTGAAACTAATCTTGCAAAGATGATCTTGACCAGCAGAGGAACATGACTCTATCGAAAACAGGAAATTGGACAGCATCATCGCTTGTCAAAGTTAACGACCAGAATGCCACTCTATACCTTGAATTTCTCGGTCAGAACACTGGTGTATATTAAGATAATGATGCGAACTACAACCGAGTATTCTATTCGTTACCAAATTTGGCATTTTTTGGGAGTAGCGGATCGTTCACGTCTGGAGGATATCTTTATGGGTTTTCAGCCGACGTTCTAAAATACACTTTCGCCAATGGAACTGTCGTAACCGCGAGAACTCAAGCATCGACAAGCGTCAACTTCACTTCCATATCATCAGGCCAGGATTTGTTCAATGCTGTGGATCCACCGAAAACAGAATCAATTACTTCGAGTTCCTCAGTCTCAGATAGTCGGCAGAGCACCAAAACTAAGACCGCAGTGAGATCGATTACAGCGCTTGCAGGCTATCCAGAGCCAATTGTGATGCATCCAGATGGTTATGTAAGCGGTTATTTCCTCCAAGACACTATGACTGCAATATTAGTGATGCAGGGTTTTGTTGACCCTTACGAAACGGACGACGATGCAGCACTCAAGCAGCAAAGAGTGATTAGTGAATTTCTAGCAGAATGTAAGAAGGCGAAAATGGAGTACTTGATCGTGGACGTACAAGCAAACGGAGGCGGCGACGTGTTTAGTGGCTATGATGCCTTCAAGCAGATTTTTCCTGCTATTGAGCCATTCGGGGCATCACGATACCGAGCCACACCATTGGTCAACTACATGGGTACTATATTTAGCGGTGCCGGAACGTATGATGCTAGCCATGATTATCTCTTCCAAGCACAATCACAGCTTGATGGAAACGGACAACCATCCAAAGTTGGAACGAGGAAGACCCCAACACGCTTATTTATGGTGACAACTTCACCGCGGAACTTCGTTACAACCTCTCCGACATTGTCACAATGGTAAGCCACTTAATCAATTATGAATAGATACATGCTAAGAAGTCCCATAGTCCCAATCAGCTGGCATTAACGTGACTGGCTACCTAAGTAACAACGATCCTCCACCAGCGGTCTTCAATGCCTCAAACATCGTGATGCTTATGGATGGTGGTTGTGGATCCACGTGTGCTATTTTTGCTGAAATGATGAAAGCTCAAGGTGGTGTTCGAAGTGGTTTGTTAATTCTTTCACTCGCATTGAATCTTCCATTAACATATATTTAGTTTCTGTTGGTGGTCGTCCGCAGCCTGGTCCTCAGCAAGGGGTGTGTGGCTCGAAAGGAACTCAAGTGTTTAATTTTAACGGCATTGCATCTCACATTGAAGCTCTACCAGATGCACAAGCGTCTTATCTTCAGAAAGGCCTCCCATTACCAGATTATCCGCCCGCGGAATACATTCCCAATATCAAGGCCAAAGCATCACTTGGATCTACTTCAACGCTAATGTCCGGTGGGCGATTCAACCTTCGAAACAGCATGCATGATGGGGATGAAACATTTACGCCTTTACAGTTTCAATACGAAGCTGCAAATTGTCGCTTGTTCTACACCAAAGACGATATCTATAATATTACGGGATTATGGACGAGAGTTCAATCAGTGGTATGGAGAGGTCAACCATGTGTAGCGGGTAGCGCTATTACTGATGATGACACAATGCCGCCCGGGGCTTACGATACGGTACCATTTGGAGCTTCCGCTCTACCAAACGTCGAGCTACCGGCTCGACCTGGATTGGTACCTATTGGCAAGGGAGTGAAATCTTGGGCGAGTGAGAGTGGAAGTAGAGAGGAGAGTGCACAAAAGGCATTTGTTTGGGCGATCTGGAATGGATTGCAATAACTTTGGGATGCATAAAGTTGGGAAACTAGATTTCGCATATATCTTGCATCGGAGTTCATGAATGCATTTGCTAGGAGTTTAAGGAGAACTGGCTATGAATGGAGGAAAGTCATCAGTATTGGATCTGATATGTACTCAGACAAGCGAAGGCGTAGGGATTAATGATGGCATATGTAGTGGTGTGGGTGTCAGATCAATCAATCTTTTTCAAATAAACTTTTGCTCACAATATCCTGACAGTAGTAACTCATTTTAGGAAAGGTAATAATATCAAAGTTTGATGCATTGAGATATGCGTTTTGTATTTCAACAAACACATTCTCCATACAAACTACTCGTAGATCGGGACATTCTCCAATAGTAACAGATTTGTTAGAATATCCGAGAATTATATAGACTGCTATAATGTATGTTCTCAAAAGAGATTCCTGCCAATAGTACTCGAGTACTGGGGATTTCTAGATTTATATTTCCTATGCTACTCGTCATAGCACATCAGTATCTATCTGTATCCTCTAAAACAAGTTTTCCAAGACCTCGTTCTTTTGATTAAAAGATCTCTTTATTGTTGATCTTGGTCCTTTTATAATGATAGAGTTTCACAATTTTACAGGAAGGGATTGAAGTTTATGGGTTCTATGATACTCGAGTATTGGGTTGGTTGTACTTCTCTCTGGACAAGCAAGGCAAAGCAAGGAATCGGCACAGCTGGATGGCTTGCTTACCTCGGCCAATTCAGGAGTGGATAGAGAACATCAAAGGACATAACCAATAAACAAGAATATATCCTTCAAAAGAAACCAATAAATATCAATAGTTAAAAGAGTTGGTAAGCTGATAGACTTTAGAGACCGGAACGCTCTTAGCTTTTCAGCTTGAATTTACATTTATTTCAAGTACTTCTTTTATGTGAATCTTGATAGAAAGATTGATGGTCATGTGACTATTATGGCCTGAGGCATAATTAACAACTCGGTAAGATTTTAGCTCCATAATTCAATCTGAGCCGTGCTGAAATTTTCGCGTTCCTGTAATTTAGGAACCACCAAAGCAAAGCAGAGCAAAAGGCAAAAAGTACCACCTTTCAACCAAAACTGCCTTTCAACCACCGATTGAAAAGAACGGCCTACTTACCTACTTACAACAAGTCGCCAATCCCTCTCATCCCCCCTTTTGTTTCAACGATATCAAATTAATTCCAATCCATCCTACCACTTTTTTTCTCTCTTTACGATATTATATTCATTATCGTAGAGAAATAATTTCCACTTTTTCTCATTCCCCAGTTTCCCCGTTTGTGATCATCGACTTCTCTTTTGGGTCCATCCATCCATCTTATTATATCAACTTTATCAAAAGATAAAAAAGAAGCATCGCGCCAAGTTGTTGCATCCATCAAAAGATCATTCAACATCAACACCGAACGCGCCCATTCATTTGGTCGCGCGATTACAATCGCTTTTCCCCTCTATCGACGTCCTCATTCATTGTCAAATCATTGTTGACTTGATCGCGCCTCAACACAACATTGTACCTCATGCGCAAGGCTACCTTTTGATATGCGCTGAAGCTTACCTTGGCATCAACAACCCCAGTTCCAGCATCCACACGATAGTTACTTGTTTCCCCGCGCTACCATGGCTTCGACAATGCAGAACGCGCCGGCCGTTCAACAGCCTGGCTCATCTTTGCCTAATGAGATGAACCCGCAAGTACAAGTTTTGTTCCAGGTAATTTCCTCTCCCACTCTTTTTTCAATCCCTTCCTCTATACACTCTGCTATTGTGTATCTGACTAACTCTTTGCCTTTTACAGAGATATAAACAAATGAAAGATCAAGGCGTGTCAGAAAAAGATCCTGAATTCATAAAGGTCCACCAAACTCTCTCCAACTTTCGCATGCATCGTCAGAAAGCTGTATATGCACAACAGCAACAGCACTTGATGCAACAACAAAATGCAAATAGTGTGGCGGCAAATGGTTCAAATCTAACTCGGCCTCCCTCTACTCCCAGTTCGATCTCCGGCGCGCAAATACCTGCTCCATCCTCACTTGGTCCCTCGGCGATTCCCGCAACTGCGACAGGTCCTCCCGCACCCAAAGCAGCGGCTGGCTCCCAGAAACCAACTGGAATGGGCTCCGGCTATTTCTCGCCAGAACAATTGAGCATGTTGAAGCACCAGATTTATGCCTTCAAGTGTCTGTCGAAAAACTTGGGGATCCCCGCACAAACTCAGCAGCAACTATTTGCGTCTCAAAAGAAGCTACCCACGCCCATCGAACAAGCACTGGCCACCCCTCAACCATCCGGTGAGGATGCACAGCCTGCCACCAATGGAGTAGAAACTGCCGCAGCTCAAAAAGTCGAGGGACCCAAAGTTCACGTATATACCGGATTCCACGACCCGCGCGGGGGGCTTTTGAAAAAAATTGGCTATGGCACCTATAAGACACCAGAACAACGACTAATTATCCCATCTATCTTTCCAACCGGTGTCAATGTTGAGAAACTTTGCCAGAGACGAGCCGACATTATCCACAACCGCATGAATGCTAGGCTCAACGAGTTGAGATCATTGCCTGCAAACATTGCCCATGTAGATGCACGGGACGATGAAATGGTGCCAGATGGCACTCTCAGGCTCAAGGCTGTGATCGAGATGAAGATGTTAGCACTTTACGACAAACAGAAGGCATTGCGCGAGAGAGTCGGTAGGCAGATGATCCAATATGATAACCTAGCGATGACGGCCAACAGAAGCATTTATCGCCGTATGAAGAAACAATCGCTCCGAGAAGCTAGGATTACCGAAAAATTGGAGAAGCAGCAACGCGACGCTCGTGAGACTCGCGAGAAGAAGAAACACACCGATTATCTACAAACAGTCCTCAATCATGCTCGTGAGGTCAACTTAGCTGGTCAGAATCAAAGACAGAAGATGGTTAAATTGGGCCGTATGATGGTGACTCAACACCAAAATATCGAGAAGGAAGAACAAAAGCGTGTCGAGCGAACAGCAAAGCAGCGTCTCGCAGCTTTGAAATCGAACGACGAGGAGGCATACCTAAAGTTGTTAGATCAAGCGAAGGATACTCGTATCACTCACTTGCTCAGACAAACAGATGGTTTCTTATCTCAACTCGCTGCATCCGTCAAGGAGCAACAGCGCAAAGCAGCAGAGCGCTATGGTGATGAGCATGGAGATTTTGAGGAGGATGAGTCTGAAGAAGATGATGAAGAAGAACAAGATACACGCAAGATCGACTACTATGCCGTCGCCCATCGCATCAAGGAAGAAGTCTCCAAACAACCTAACATTCTTGTTGGTGGTACCTTGAAGGAATACCAATTGAAGGGTTTGCAATGGATGATTTCGTTGTACAATAATAACTTGAACGGTATCTTAGCAGATGAGATGGGTCTGGGTAAAACTATACAGACCATCAGTCTGATCACATATTTGATCGAGACCAAAAAGCAGAATGGTCCCTTCTTGGTTATTGTTCCCTTGAGTACGCTGACAAATTGGACTCTTGAGTTCGAAAAGTGGGCGCCGTCGATTGGAAAGATCGTTTACAAAGGACCCCCAAACACAAGAAAGCAACAGCAAAACCACATTCGTTACGGAAACTTCCAAGTCCTTTTGACTACCTACGAGTATATCATCAAGGATAGGCCAATTTTGAGTAAGATCAAATGGGTACATATGATCATTGATGAAGGTCATCGTATGAAGAACGCACAGTCGAAGCTCAGTGCTACTCTCACACAATATTACAGTACTCGTTACCGTCTAATTCTTACTGGTACTCCTCTCCAGAACAATTTACCAGAACTTTGGGCATTGCTCAATTTCGTTCTTCCAACCATCTTCAAGTCTGTTAAATCTTTCGACGAATGGTTCAATACTCCATTTGCCAACACTGGTGGTCAAGATAAGATGGAGCTTACCGAGGAAGAACAAATTCTCGTAATCAGACGTCTGCACAAAGTTTTACGACCTTTCTTGCTTCGTCGTCTTAAGAAAGATGTCGAAAAGGATCTTCCCGACAAGACCGAAAAGGTCATCAAGTGTAAATTCTCGGCTTTGCAATCCCGCCTCTACAAACAGATGGTTACCCACAACAAGCTGGTTGTCAGTGATGGCAAAGGAGGCAAGACTGGAGCTAAAGGTTTGAGCAACATGATCATGCAGTTGCGAAAGCTTTGTAATCATCCTTTCGTGTTCGGCGAAGTTGAAGATCAAATGAACCCTACCAATATGGTTAACGATACTTTATGGCGAAGCGCAGGCAAGTTCGAGTTGCTCGACCGCATTCTGCCAAAATACCAAGCAACTGGACACAGAGTTCTGATGTTTTTCCAAATGACGGCCATTATGGACATCATGGGCGAATTTTTAAACTATAGAGGCATTAAGTTTATGAGATTAGATGGAACGACAAAATCTGATGATCGTTCTGAACTTCTCAAGCAGTTTAATGCACCGAACTCGCCATTCTTCATTTTCTTGCTTTCAACTCGTGCGGGAGGTCTAGGTTTGAATTTGCAGACTGCTGACACTGTGATCATCTACGATTCGGATTGGAATCCTCATCAAGATTTACAGGCTCAGGACCGTGCTCATCGTATTGGTCAAAAGAATGAAGTCCGTATTCTTCGGCTTATCAGTTCCAATTCGGTCGAGGAAAAGATTTTGGAAAGAGCAAAGTTCAAGCTCGATATGGATGGCAAAGTCATTCAAGCTGGTAGATTCGACAACAAGTCATCTGAGACGGATCGTGATGCAATGCTTAGGGTTATGTTGGAAACAGCTGAAGCCGCTGAGTCTTTGGAGCAAGACGACATGGATGATGAAGAGCTCAATGAGATCTTGGCACGTTCTGATGATGAGATTGTCAAGTTCAGAGAAATGGATGAAGAACGAAATAAGAACCTGCTATACGGCATTAACCCTCAAAGCCAGCGTATTCCTCGCCTCATGGCGGAAAGTGAGCTTCCTGGCATATACATGTCGGACGGAAATCCCATATCGGACGAGCCCGAGGCACCACAAGGTCGTGGTGCAAGAGAGCGCACTCGCGTCAAGTACGATGATGGTCTCACGGAGGAGCAATGGACTATGGCTGTGGATGACGACGAGGATTCTCCAGAAGCTGCAGCAGCTCGTAAAGCATCTCGGGCGGATCGCCGTGAACGAAATAAGGCAAGAAAGGCTGGACAACTGAATGGCCCCCTTTCGCCAGCTGGCAGTCGCGATAGCTCCGAAGATCCTGAGCCTGAGGAGCCTGAGCCTGAGCCTGAGCCGACACCCAAGAAGGGACGTGGTCGCAAACCAGGAGTCAAGATTGAGAAACGCAAGGCCGAAGAGTTTGAAGATGAACCTCCGCCAAAGCGAAAGCGTGGTGGTCCTGGACGCCCACCGAGGTTTCCCAACGGAGATATCTTGACACCTAAGAATCGCATGACTCTTCAGGCGAGTCTGAAGATTGTCTTTGATCATTTGATGCATCTCAAATCTCTGCCTGAATCTCCAGACTCACAAGGAGAGCAAACCACACGCGAGATCATATTCCCATTTGTTTCCTTGCCATCGAAGAAAGACTTCCCAGATTACTACATGATTATTAAGGAACCAATTGCCATGAAGCTCATCGAGAAGAAAATCAATAAGAGAGAATACAACAGTCTTCAGGATTTCAAGAAAGACATCGACACTCTCTGCACCAATGCCAAGACATACAACGAGGATGGCAGCTTGATCTATGTCGATGCTGTCGCAATTAGCGTAAGTTAGCTTGATATCCACACGTGTTACAATACTAATAGATAACAGGAGGAGTGCGATTCTCGGGTTCAAGACGAAATTCACGAGCATTCGGAACTTAGTGCTGAGGGTGATGAGGCTTCACGAAACGACGGCTCGACGGCTCCTACTACGAATGCTGGTACTCCTATGCCGGCGCCGGGACCAAGCACAAAGTTGAAGCTTACATTCAATAAGCAACCCAATGGCAGAAGTAGCAGTATTCAAAGTGACGATGATGACGATGATGAGTAGACACTCATACATGAGGTTCATTGTGATTTACGATGGGGGGTGTAAAGGGGATTTGCTGGATTACTTTCTCGCACGTAAAACTCGTGCATGTTGTTTTTTTAGTGGCGTTTACATCACATGGAAGGGAGTCACTTGAGGGAGGGAAAACATATTTGCGCATTTGACACGAAGGCGTGACAAAGGCTTTTCTATTTTATCCAAAGGCCTTTGCCTAGAATGTATTTTAATAGAGACAAATGAGATGCATGGGACATAATTCCATGGTATCAATCCGTTAGCTAAAATCAAGATAAATGTACAACAAAAAAGTACCAATTGTATGGAAGGATTGCATAGTGACATGTACATTGTACGATAGAGGGACTGGATCGAACGCCAATGGGTAAGGCTTTCGAGTACAGTATTAACTCCAAAATGGCAGTGAATAAGTCATCAACTTGAAGTTCCTGTTAATACAACCTAGGTACTACCGTATACTGTTGTGGTGTTGTTAAACCCTATCGGACTTAGCGTTAATCTTCACATTAAAGATCCGAGCTCAAATTTATAGCATTGTCTTGAATATCCGTATTCAAAGGCTTTCCATTGCATACGACAGAACATATCAGCTTAAGGTAATTTTACTTTGCATCTTTCTTCAGCTTATTGCACAAAACATCAACTTTGTAGTTGCATATATTCTGAACTCGATGAATCTTTAATTCAATAATTTGATCCTCGACGCGACCTTCCCAGCTCTTCGATTGCGCCGACTGTCTCCCCTCTTCAAATACTTCACGACGCGCAGGAAAGCAAGCCAACGTCATGTCTGCGATCAAGAATGGCCACGTCAATGGCGGCGCAAATGGTTATGATGCTGGGAATTCGATTGAAAGAATGATTAGCAAACGATTTTCCGACATTCCCTCAGCTATCGATATTCCAGTGACTGGAGAAGATGATGATCAGGCAGTTGAAATTGATCTCGAAGATCTACTGGACGACCCTACCGAATTATGCACATTACTCGAAAACGAAGGCGCGGCTCGCACATATTGGATGACGGTTGCATTGGCATACGCGAAACAGAAGAAGGTTGATCATGCTATTGAGATGTTGACAAAAGGCCAGACTGCTATGCGCGGCGGTAACAAGGAGAGACTCAGTATGCTTACATGTTTATGCTGGATGTACCTCTGGAAAAGTAAGGAGGCACCTCGCCATCGGCCAGATAGCGTGGAGGATGGAGATGAGATAAAAACGAAAGAAGATTGGTTGAAGATGGCGACGTCGAATTTGAACGATGCTTCCCGTATCAATCCAGCCTTTCCACCCCTCTTCCTAGCTCGAGGTGTCTTGCAGCTCCTCCGAGCTTCTACTCGGCCCTTTCCCAAGAATAACACAGCGCCCGGCGCACTGGATCCTGAGAAGGCTGAGCTTCTGCGGGGAGCCCAAAAGTCATTCGAGGATGCAATCAAAGCTTCGCATGGCAGGAATATGCTGGCAGTATTGGGTAAGGCGAGAGCGGCATACTCAATGGGCAAATACGCAGAGGCTTTGGAGGGATACCAAGAAGCATTGCGATCAATGCCAGATCTAGTAGACCCTGATCCAAGAATTGGAATAGGCTGTTGTTTCTGGCAATTGGGCTTCAAGGATGATGCGAAGGCGGCTTGGGAACGATCGTTAGAAATCAATCCAGATTCGAAGGTCGCAAACATATTACTCGCTCAGTTCTACCTCGATCAAAGCGCACATGTACCAACGAACAGTCCCGAATTCATTCAATTATACAAGAAGGCCATGACTGAGTATACCCAGAAATCCTACAAAGTAGACAAAGATATGCCTTTAACTTGTGCTACTTTTGCTGGCTACTTTTTGTCACGGAAATCGATGCCAAACGTCGAAGCTCTAGCCCAAAAGGCGATTCAATACACAGATGTCAATGCGATTGCAAGTGATGGATGGTACTTGCTTGCGAGGAAAGAACACTTCGATGACAATTACGAGAAGGCTCTTGATTACTATGGGCGGGCTGATGATGCGCGTGGTGGTGTTGACAGAGGATACATGCCTGCTAAGTTTGGAGCTGCGCAATTGTCCGTACTGAAAGGCGACTTCGGCGAAGCAAAATTGCGACTCGAGAAAATAATTCAGCAATCCAAGAACATTGAGGCAATGATTTTGTTGGGAACCTTGTATGCGGAAGAAGTATTCAGCAGCCAGGAAAGTGGTGTCAAGGAAGACAAAACCACAGAATTCAAGAAAGCTATTGGTTATCTTGAGAATGTCCGTACAGCATGGAAAGACCCTAAGAAGAATCTTGTGCCTGATGCGTCGGTTCTTCTCAACCTTGCGAGGCTCTACGAAACAGAACAACCCGACAAAAGTTCGCAATGCCTTCAACAAGTCGAGCAAATCGAATTTGATCAAATCCCAGCTGCAGACAAACCCGAGCAGACGGACGATGAGGTCGCATACAAAAACGCTATGCGCGAAAATCTACCCCCCCAATTACTGAACAATATGGGATGCTTCTATTATCAATCCGAGAAATACGACCAAGCTCGCGAAATGTTTCAAGCTGCATTAAACGCTTGCGTCAAAGCTGGTGAAAAGCTTGAAGGTATGGACACTGATGCACTGGTCACTACTATCAGTTTCAATCTCGGACGAACGTATGAGGCCAGTGGAATGCCTGATGAAGCCAAGACGGTTTACGAAGGACTGTTGGGTCGTCACAGTGATTATACTGATGCTAGAACACGTTTGGCATATATCGCACTGCGTCGGGACCGACAAGAAGAAGGACCCAAAGCCGTGTCTACCTTGTACAAAGAGTCTTCGGCCGACCTCGAGGTCCGAGCATTGTACGGTTGGTATCTGGGACGCATGCATTCTCGGAAGAAGTCGAGCAATATTAATGAGGATCCAGAATATCGTCACTACAAGCATACTTTGCAACAGTATGACAAACATGATCGATATGCTTTGATAGGTATGGGTAACATCAATCTTATGGCCGCTCGCGAGATGCGTCGTGATACCGAATCAGACAAGCAAGCGCGGAGCAAAATCTACACGAAGGCGGTTGAGTTTTTTGACAAAGCTTTACAACTGGACCCCAAGAGCGCTTATGCTGCTCAGGGCGTTGCAATTGCACTCGTCGAAGACAAAAAGGATTTCAAGACTGCCCTTTCTATCTTTGTGAAAGTACGAGACACAGTCAGGGACCCAAGTGTCTTCATCAATCTCGGACATATTTTTGCAGAGTTACGACAGTATTCTAAGGCCATTGAGCATTATGAATCTGCCTTGACGAAAGATCGAGCTCACGATAGTCATATCTTAACTTGTCTGGGACGAACCTGGCTGTCGAAAGGAAAAGCAGAGAAGAGCTTATCGGCGTTCAAAAGTGCTCTTGATTACTCAGTGCAGGTATGTTACTTTCCGAAATTTATCATTTCAGTACTAATCAATAATAGGCTCTTGAAATTACACCTGATCAAGTTCACTACAAATTCAACGTTGCATTTGTACAACTTCAATTGGCGACAACGATTTACAGCTTACCAGAAACTCAAAGATCCCTCGAAGAAGTCAAAAGTGCAGTAAAGGGTCTAGAAGATGCCATTGAAGCTCTCGACGCAATTGCCCAACATCCTAGTCCACCGTACCCTAAACACGATATCGAGCAACGAGCCAACATGGCACGAAATACGATGCGTCGTCAATTAGAACGTTCAATGCAAGCCCAGAAGGAATATGAGGAAAAGAATGCCTCCAAAATACAGGCAGCCAAGGACCAGAGAGAGGTTGAATTGAGAAGAAGAGAAGAAGTGCGTGAGGCAGCTGAAAAGGCCGAACGTGAACGCAAAGCAAAGATTGCCGAGGAGCGACAGAAGATTTCCGAAAAGGATCGTGAACTGGCACAGGCTAGAGCGGCTGATGATATTGCTAGGGAAGCAGCGGAAATGACGACGGATAGTGAAACGGGTGACAAAGTGAAGAGAAAGAAGGTTCCCAAGGGTAGATCGGGTGGTGGGAAACGTAAGAAGAAGGATGATGGAATTACGGATGACGATGATTCAGGTGCTGAGGAGGGAGGCCGATCACAAAGGAGAAGTAGAAAGGCGAGGAGAGGCAGTGGAAGTGAGGAAGAGAAACCAAAGACGAAGAAGAGGAGGTTGGCTAAGAAGGGGGCGGAAAAGAAGAATGATAAATATCTGAGTAATGAGATTGTGGTGGAGAGTGATAGTGATGGTGACAATGGGGCTGAGGAGGCGAGGAAAGCCATGGAGGGAGAGGCTGGAGAGGATGACGTTGAGATGGAGGGGGTTCCTACGAGTCAGATTACTGCCGGAGGTGGTGATAGTGACGAGGAGGAACAAGTCATCAAGACTACGAGGAAAAGTCGAAGAGGCGTCATTGAAGATGATGACGAGGATGATGATAATGCCAATGCCGCGACTAATGATGGTCCTGCTGGTCCTTCTGGTCTACAAGAAGACTCTCCGGGCACAGTAAACGAAGATGGCGATACCCCGATGGCGGGAATTGGGGCAGGAGATGAGGATGATGAGTAGAGAGTAGAGGTACTCGGTCTTGTAAATTAAATATAATCTAAAAAGCTATTTTATTTGCAAAGAATGGGGCGGGATAGGATGGGTTGGGATGGGGTGAGAGAAGCTATGATTGATTGATTGATTGATAGATAGTCAAGTGATAATTCGATAATTGATATATCATATTTTACATATAATACTCGAGTACTCGAGTACAATATAGTTGGCTGGATGGGGAAAGCTAATGACAGGAAAAAGATAGAAGAAAAAGTGTAAGTATAAGTATAAGTATAAGTATAAGTTATTTGTACTCAACTAAGAGTATATCAGATTGGATTATTGAGGATAATGAAATCTAGAGTAGTTAACTCATCATATTTTGTTTTTATATACTCAAGTAAAAATACTCGAGTATACTCGAGTATAAATCTTCTCTTCTTCTTTTCTCCTTTTCTCTAGGCTCTCTTTCTTCTGTTTCTTTTTGTTCCCTTTCTGTTCCTATCTGTTTCTTTTTGTTTTGTGTTTGTTTGTGTTTGTGTTTGTATTTGTATTTGTATAGATATTTAGATAGATAATTTATTAAGCGTAAGGGAAAGGGAAAGGGAAATCGGGGTGAGGGGAAGTAGCTGGGTAGGTATGATAGGTATACAAGTAGTATAGTGTAATATGGTATAATTTGGTATTATCTGTAGATTATATTAGATAGGAAGGTATAGGAAGGTATAAAGGAGCTGGAATTCGAAGGGTGTTCGGAGTTTTGTGTGGTGTGGTGGGTTGGGTTGGGGTGTAGTAGGGCAGGGCAGGCAGGGCATACTATGTAACATGGTAAGGTGCACGCACGGTAGTAAGAAGGTAAGAAGGTAAGGGAGGTACTGTCTGTAAGATTACTTACTTGGGTGAGGTACTTGGGTGAGGTACTTGGGTGAGGTAGAGAAAGAAGGTTGTGGTGGTTGTGGTGATGGAGTAGGTTTATGAATAAGGTTTATAAGCAAGCAGGTTTATAAGTAAAAACTGTATGAGTATATAGGCAGGAATACTTGTAAGTTGGAATACCGTATATCCCCCCCTACTTACGAGTACTGTACTTTACTGTCTGTATACTCACTTGTATTATAAACTAATTACTCGAGTATAATAATATATAATTATTCTAGACAAATTTCACATAATAACATGATATTAAACTTCCAAGTTTTTTCTAGATTTATTATCATTTTGATTTCCATTCCATCTCTTCTTCATTTCGCTAATTCAATCCATTCCATTCCAATCCAATTCAGTCGCAAGACT